AGAGCAACTGCCAACAACTGCTCGTGCAGGAGGACTTGGGGCTGGGATGCCCAATTCTGGGGAGGGGAGGCTCCAAACAGGCGTTAGTGAGCACCAAACACCAGTCAGTGAGGGGCTTAGAACGCTCCGAGAATCAGCAGCCCCACACTTCACTCCTGTCCCTCCCAGGTAGCCCTCTTACCCCGAGTGTGAGCTCCAAGAGTGGAAGACTGGGGCCGGGGTTGGGCATCACTGGGGGGACTGGGGGTCCCAGGGGAAGGGCCAGGACCCGGAAGCACTGGTGGCAGAGACCAGGTCAGAGCCAGTGAGGCTCCTAATCTCTACCCCTGACACCCTTCCAGGGGTCCTTCCTCCCTCCTGTGGAACGCCAGCCTCTAGTTTCTTCTGGGCCTGGGGGAGGGCTCATCATGCAGGACATTGATTTATTTGTTCAAAAAGTACCCTACTGTGTGCCAAGTACTGAGCTACATGCTGGGTATCTGGAGGATGCCGACCCTTTTCCGATACTCCCAGGGTATTCAGAATGCTGCTCTGCTGCTACCACAGGACATACACTCAGGTATGTGGGCTGAGCAAGGGAAGGTGAAGTTGGGACAAGAGGACTCACCATAAGCAGAATCCCCAGGGCCAGACTGACTCCCAGTAGCTCCGTCTATGAAGAAGGGAGAGGGTGAAGATGGGGGGAAGGAGAAGCTTCATGAAGAACTGATGGGGTGACTGTGCCACAGAAGGAGAGAAGGACAAAAGCCCAAGCCTGGGATGGTGTCTGTGGCCATCATGGCCATGTGCAGCTTTGGCGGCAACCGCAGCCGCCTCTTCTGTTTACCTTGGCAGTCACCATGCTCCATGGATTCCTGGTTCCCAGCCTGATCCACATCAGTCCTAGGAGGAAAACGAAGTGGCTCTAGAATTCTGCACCTTGTCCCTATCTCCCACTCTGGCCCTCAGCTCTTAGCGGTGGGGAATTTTATGCTCAGGAAGCCCAAGGACCTGTCACTTACCCACCAGGTTCCCTGATATCCACACAGCCCCTGGAGCTATGCCATCCACAGTATGGGTCCTGAGAAGCCAAGCAGCTCCTAGGGAAAACAGGTGTGTGAGGCTGGATCCCCTTCTACTCCAGTCACTTTCCATTCTGCTGCCTCTTCCCACCCTGGCTTACAGGAGTCTCTCAGCCTCATTCTCTCCTGTCCACCTCAGTCTCTCCACACCCTGGTTGCTGCCCACCTTCAGAATGCTTGAGGTACCTATGCACCCCACAGCCATCCCCTGTGTTTCTCTGCCACCCCAAAGACCTTCGTTTCTGTGCTCTTGCTGGCCCGGGGAGCTTGCCCACACAGGGCCTGGCCTCAGGCCCCTCTCACCTCTGACAGGCCCCATGCCGGGCACACCGGCTGAGAGGGAGGTAGACAATACAGCCAGAAAAAGCCACAAAGAGCCTGTGACCCTCAGTGTCCAGCTCCAGCCCTATGATCCGTCGTGCTGTTTGGGCTGCCCGCTTCCCACTGCACCTAGGGTGAGGCCAAAAGGAACCAGAGATGGACAGATGAGGCTACCTTTTCCCTGGGTGAGTGGAAGAACAGAAAGGGGGGAGGCGCACAAGCAACTGAGCATAACCCATGGAGCTGCCCTGCCCTACCACACTGTCCAGTCTTCTCGCCAAGCCTCTCTAACCCAGAGCTCCCACCCTGCAAAAGCCAATGTTTTTGATGTTTCCAACCTATTCCCACATCTGCTGCTGCTACTCCCATCCCATCCCTGCTCTGCAGGGAGCCTCCCCTCCAAAGGCCTCACCGGGCAGGGCTGTAGGCATCAATCTCTTCCAGGAGGATGGGCTCAGGTCCGCCGGATCGCCCACCTGGGGGCAGCACCTTCAGCACTGTCCCATCGTTGGAGCCAAGGAACATGACTGTGATGTTACTGTGGGGACCAGCCATGCCATCCACAGCTACTTGGGTCAGTAGGGCCCTGGAGGAAAGGGCCTCAGGTCAGGGAACCTGTCTAGTGGAAGCCTGAGCATTTCAGGGAGAGCCCAGCTGTCCTGGTAGCTGTGCCTGTGCCCTTCCCCCAGGTCCCAGGGTTCCCTTCTTAGCTCTCTCCCTTCTACTTTCACAAGTTCTTCCTCCCACCAATGCGGTTTACCTTATTGGGTCAAAGAAAGAGGAGGGTGGCTGAGAATGGGGTCAGTGGTCAGTGTTTTTCAGCACCATACCTGCTAGTGAGAGTGAGTAGAGGCTGATGGGTGGCAGGCGGTACAGCGGGGTCCAGCAGCGGGTGAGCCTTGATGAAGGTCAGGACATCATCAGGGAGGTCTCGAGAAGAGGAGAACAAGGCAGCTCCCCCTATTCCTGCACAGGATCCTGGTCTGGTGGGTGAATGGGAAGGGGCTGCCTTGGGACTGGGAGCTGGAGCTCAGTTAAGCTCTGTGCCCCGTACTGCTCCCAAACCTGACTGGAAAGCCTTGCTCCCCCTCCACACAGACACTCACAGCACTGCTCCCTTCCCTGCCGCAGCTCTTCGGCCCCGCTGCCACCCCACTATAGCTCCCCACCCTGAGGCCTTAAGACATCTCACTCACTCCTCACAATCCCATCTTGGGGGCAGACGCTGCTTGCTTATGCCCCCACAAAAGCCATTTTCCATCCTGGGTACCTGGGTGAGGGGACCCTGTCCTCAGACACAG